CCCCAAAACCCCAAAACCCCAAAACCCCAAAACCCCATAATTGCAAATTAATTTGGAATTTTCGAATTAAAATTTGAATCAAAAGCATATTATATTTCACCAATATCAAATCACTTGAACATTTCACTAAGCATTCTAATTTTTTCATGAGCCTATTTCTTCTACTTTTCCTACTCCTATAATAATATCTTTATATCTCCTTCTGCAGATTGAAGTTTTTGCTTCAATCTATAAATCTCACTATCTTTTTGCCTTTTATATTACTCCATTTTCTCAATCACAATTCTAATTTCCTCCCCTTTAATCTCATTTTATCTCACCAAATCTTGGTTTATATCTCTTAACTCTTGCAAGAGGTATTCTTTATCTTGTAATTCACTCTTTACTTATTCATTCATTTAGACTATAGAGAGCACCTCTGATTCAATTTTTTCAAAAGCATTTTCTCTGTCTTTAAGCTACTGTTTAGCTATGCTAGCTGATTCATTAGCATCTTGAAAATCTTTGTTCAATAAATCTAACTCCTCTTCAAGCTCCTAAATTCTTTACTCCAAATCATCACTTTTTTACTTTGATCTATCATAATCATCATAAGCTTGTTAAAGCTTTTCATCATATTGATTTTTATATTTCGACTTAGACTCTCTCAAAACTACCATCTCCTCATCTCGTTGCTTAATGGCATTCTTTAGGTTCTAGATTGAAACATTCTGATCATCAAGCATTTTATCCTTCATCTTGATGATTTCATTCATTTCATCTATCTCATTTCTAGCATCATCTAGATCCTTCTTAAGTTGATCGTCGTAGGTGGTGTACTGGGCATTTAAATTTTCCAATTGAATTTATAGTTCTTTCAAAGCCCGTTTATTTGAGTCATTTTCTCTCGCTAGTTTATCATATTCCATTGTCTTGTCATCCAAGAAATGATTTAGTTTATCAATTTTCAGTATCTATTCTTTTTTGTAGTATTCTAACTCCTCAATCTTAGATTTCAGGCTTATAACTTCATCTTTAACATCTTTCTTTTGTTAATCGAACAAAGTCTTTTCCTTACTCACAACTTCTCTTTCCTGCGCAAGCTTATCAGTCTTATCCTTGAAAGCTACTTTCAACTCTTCAAGCAATGCTTCCTTCTTATTGTCGCTTTCAACAGCCATTTACAGGACTTCTCTCATTTCTGCAACCTGCTAAGTACTCTTTGTATATTTAGCCTTGAGTTGTTCATGCTTCTCTACGAATTCTTATCTCTACTTTTTCATTGTTTAGTCGAGTAGTATGATATCTTGCTTAAACTGTACTTATTAATCGCTTATTTTCTTTTCGTAATCATGCTTGAGCATGGTAATAGATCGATCTGAAGCATCTTTTAACGTCTAAATCAAAAGATCTTTGTCTCTAATTGATGATTCATACTTTTAACCCCAAGTATACTCAAGCTATCCATTTAAATCCTTTAGCTTTAAAAGATTTTGATTCAAATCATCATTTACCTACATTTACTTGGCAAGCAGGGCTGAGGTATCCTCATACTTTCTCTGAATATCAGACCATCTCTCCATGCCGTTTTTGTTAACGTTAATCATATCTTGGTATAATTAACCTTATTTTTCTTGACATATTTTAAGTTAATCCTTGGTATCCTTATGATGTTATTACTCATTTTGTAGTTCTTGTTATTCACGGTAAAAGTCTTTCCTCAACTGCTAAATCTCATCTTTTTAATGCTCAAGATTAGCTACCAATACAGACATTTACTTGTTAAGCTCAGAAATTGTTGCATCTTTTTGTTAAGATTGCTCTCCCTCTCTTCCTTTTTCTGATTCAAGTTGCTTGATTCTCTTATTGAATTTGTCTAGCTAAGTTAATAGGTCAGAATTATCATCCTTTAAAGATTTATTCAACTCGTATAGCTGCCCATTATCTTTTTCAACTTTTGAATTTTTACTTTTCCAATATCTTTCATTTTCTTCAAATTTCATAATAGCTTCATTCCTCTCCTCATGTACTCTTTCTAGCTTTATATGTAAATCTTTGATGTCATTATATAGGTTTTCAATAATTTTATCCTTCTCTGAAAGCTCTTTTTAGTAGGAAATTCCTTAGAATGTTACTCCTGTAGATCCCTTTTCAACTGCTCCACTTCTTTAATTAGATCTGTTCTGTTTTTGAGGGGATTGATTCTTTCTATTTGGATTGTTATTTTCGCTAGCTATATTACTCTAGACTCTTTTGAAGTTATTGCTATTGGTAGGCTTACTTACTCTTACAAAACTTGCTATATCCTTTCCATCTAGTTTTTAAACCTGCGGAAGATATAGTTTGACTGCATCTTCGTAATTTTCATACTCACAAATTTAATTTTTCCCGTTGTTCATCTGAAATACTAATTCACACATATAAGACAGTCCTTGAAGATTCTTTAATTAGTCAAGGTCTATAATATAATTTCCATTTAAATCTAAGCTCTCTAGACTAAATTGAGACTTGCCCTCTTGATCTTTGAAGTACTGAAGACTTACTATCCTATTGTAAGATAAGTTTAATTTTCTAAGATTTGAGCACATATTATGGATATTGAAGATCTGTGTGATCTTGTTACAAGATAGATTAAGATTCTCGACTCTTGAAAGTTGATCTAAAAACTGCATTGACATCAGGCCATTTGAGGAAAGGTTAAGTTCCTTTACATTTTGAAATACTTGAATGCCTTTCAGCGATGTAAACAAGCCACAATGCATGACTCTTAGAATATTTGTCTCGTTTGCTCTCCTTATCTTCTCCTTTTGAATTAAGTCATCAATATTTTCAATATTATTCAACCCATAGTAAGATAATTCTTTAATCTCAGTTTCTCCTCTATTGCTTGAATTCAAAGACTGAGTTTCGTTTTTGTCATTCGTAAGAAGCAATTGTTTCGGAATTTTTGGAAAATCTGCCATTAAATCATCATCTAGAATATCTTCAAAGAATGAATTAGATCTTTCCTCAATATTTCCAAGTTAATGATTAGGACTATGATTGTTATTTTGTCGATGACTAGTGTTAATGTTAACTAAATGGTTTGAAAAGTTGTTCATACTATTTTTCTTTAAATTTAAATATTTTATTTCTTAGCTCTTGCATTTAAAAATATAAAACAATATTGATTGCAAATATTAATCAATGGGGTTTTGGGGTTTTGGGGTTTTGGGG